TGAGTTAAACATAGTTAAATATTTAACTCAAATTGACTCACATGAGTTAAATATTTAACTTCGGTTAGTTTATTTAACTATGCAATGCTCATCGGAGTTTGCCCACCTTCACTAAAGATCACCCTTAGGGGAGCGTGCCCACCTATACTAAAGGAGATCCGAAAATTGTAACTTGACAGTAAAAAAACTATTTGTATGATGTTATTGCAAATACGTATTTATTTAATATGCGATTAATCAGTTTTATTATTGTATGCAAGTCTTATCAACATCTAAATACGAGAAATAATTACATTCCGTAATTAGTAGAGCAATCGACGTATTAGCTAAATCAGCATTCAGAGTCATTAATCGTTATTGAAAAATAATTACGCCAAGTAAGTTAAAGATGTGGTCATTATGACTCGATTTAGTGGGAAAAAAATTATTTCATGAGTGGGATAAGCAAATAAAAATAAAAATAACTACATTTGTTAAATCGTAATAATTGAAAATCATAGTCTTCATTTGGTAACAACGTAATATGCATAAAGTAATGACAGTAATATCATAGTTTATTTTGGAGTATGCGGTAAAAAATATATATATATATATGAATAGATAATAAACTATAAAATAAAATGAACAAAATTTTCGTAGTCTTTCTGTTAGATTAGATTATACGATCGTATTATTATTGTAATTGTAAAAAAAAAAACCTATGGGTAGACCTGCACGTCGTCAACAATTTTCTGAGCACGAAAACTTTACCAACAGTGAACGTATGCGTAACAGTGCACAAAATTGTGGCATGACGTGTCCTGATCTTTTTCCGGTGATCTTTTTATTAAACGGAATTTAGAATCTATAGCCGGAGGTAGTAACGATAGTAACAATTAGTAATGATGTAAGAATGTGTTGAAATTTTGACCAAACGGAAAATTTCCGATTATCAAAAAATTGTGCCGGAATTTTTTTTCAATTTACCGGAGCTCCGGTATTTTACAATAGAATTTTGTGCTCTGATGCGTAATCTGGCACCAAATGACAGTGAAATTCCTACGGCTACATAATAGTGGGAAACGTTATCAGATTTATGTAATAACTGTCGTATAAATGCCTATAATCCCACATGGAAGCGATTGTGTCCTGAATGCGGTTCACAGCTCCTTTCATCAGAACCAACAAATTTTTGTTGTAATAACATGTTACGGCGTACTATTCCACCTCTTCATCCCTTGCCACTTAACTTACAAAATCTTTATGTAACAAACCCTGATAATTTTAGCCATAATAGTCATCAATACAGTTCATTATTTTCTTTCACAGTTCTTGGTTATACAGGTGGCATAGTTCACTTACCACATCCGCAAGCCTTTGCAATTAATGGTTTCGCTTATCATCGAGTTTATCCTGCTAATACGAAGGGGTATCCAACAAATTGGTTTGTGTATGATGCTGATGCACGAAATAGTGTTGCTGATCAATGTAAGCTTAACCAAGAAATAGTTGATCTTATCAAGCGAGAATTGGCTATTGTTAATCCATTCGTCAAAGGTTTATATCAACTATGCGATGTGGATTATCCTCAAGCACGTTTAATAATTCAACAACCAACAAATAATGCTGAGGTTGCTGCTTGCACAATCATTCATTCAACATCTGTAATGCAGGAACGGCGTGTGCAAATTTGGCGTGTTGGTGAAGAAAATCCTATTTATATTAGTATACTAAATGAGAATTATGAAGCATTACAGTATCCGCTATTTTTCCTCATGGTGAAATAGGTTGGCGCATGTATTGGATAGATCCTGAACATTCGAATCTAAAAAAATTTTACAAGTCGATTATTATCGTTATCGTATTATATCTGAAACTCGATTTCATTTGCTTGGCCGTTTTTTTAACAAATATTTAGTAGATATGTTTAGCCAAGCAGATGATGAACACTTGCAGTATATACGTCAAGAACAATATCGGTTTAGAAAAAAAAATTATGATGATAATGAAACAGTTCATGATGAAGCTGAGTTATATCCAAAGAATATTTATTTACCAGCATTGCACACACTTTTATATAGATGGTCTTACAAAAAAACAATGGATGCTTTTGCAGTAGTAAGTAAACTGGGCCAGCCTATGCTGTTTATTACTTTTACCACGAATCCAAACTGGCTAGAGATAAACAACAACTACATACTGGCTAAAATTATGCTGACCGACCAGATATTGTAGTGCGAGTATTTAAACAACGTTTAATTATTTGCATAAATTACTAAAAATATACTTCAGAAAAATAGTTTATTTTATGCATACTATTGAATTTAAGAAGCGTGGCTTATCACACGCTCATAAAGGTCTGGATCGAGTATTGGTAACTGTTCAAATGGAAGAAAATAATGATACAATTGATGAGATTAAAGATTATATTAATGCACATTATCTATCTGCTATGGAAGCAGTTTGGCACATTTTTAAGTACAAGATAGCTTCACAATTACCATCAGTAACATGTTTGCCAGTTTATTTACCTGAGGAGCAAACTATATTATATGTAGATAATAAAAATTTTTCTGCCTTGCAATGCTATTTTCTCTGCTCACCAAATCTCGAATTTGATACTCTTACCTATTACAAGTACTATGAATTGTTACATTTACTTATGCTGAAGATTTGGTCAATCAACCATCATTACCTCTGAATACCTACTTAAAAAAAAAGCAAGAAGGTTGTCGACAACATATTTTTAAGCTATACAAACAAAACCATGTACATATAACAAGGATGAATATAATATGTCTATGTGTTGGTGAAAAATATTATCTTCGCCTACTTTTAAGTTGTCGTGCAGCTTGGTCATTTAAAGATCTATGTATAGTAAATAATATATTATACTCTAATTTTCAAGATGCTGCACGTGCCTTTGGTTTATTGAAGGATATAAATAAAAATGAACAATGCTTTGCCGAAGCCATATTCTATAAATGCACTTCAGCACAACTTCGATTACTTTTTTGTCACCTTATTTTAGAAGGTATAGCAGCACAGTCTATTTGGCAAAACTATCATGAATTATTATTAGCAGATTATATTGATAAGAAAGATGATATACAACAAGGAGAAAATGAAGCTTTAATATAAATAACAAGTTTTTTAGAAGAACATGGTAGTCAAATAACACAATTTGGTTTATCTCAACTAGAGATGTTACCCGAGTCAGAAAATTGTAACCTGAATCAAAGTAATTCGAGTCAAGAGTCAACTGGGTCATAACTCGGGTCAACGGATCAAATAGGCAAAAGCCAAAATCTGATAAATTTTTCACTACAAATTAACTAAAGTCAAATAAATAATACCAAGATTGCGCAGCATTGGTATAATAAAAGGACTAGGCTTGGTTAATTGCAGAATTGATAAGGTTTGAACAATTTATATCTCCATAAAGCAAGGGCATCTTAATCAATAACCCGAAAATATATCAAGAATTAAATTTTAATTAACAAAAATTACTTTTAATCAATTAAAAACATGCTTGTTATGTATTAAAATAAATAATATGCTATTATAGTAGATCTACAATAGAATTTAGAGTCTATTGTGTCTATTATAATAGATCTACAATAGAATTTAGAGTCTATTGTGATGTAATAATACGTATGTGAAAGTGAATAAATAAGAAGTTAGATCCACAAGATCAAACTTCTGATTTTTCTAATATAAAACTGATACTTAAAATGCCACTATACAATCTTATGTGTGTAAGGGAAAGGTTTGCAGCAAGATGAGTTTGTTAGTAACTAAAGCAAGCACACAAAAATTAATAAAACTTTGAACCACACAACTCTTTCTGATGATTATTTATATCAAACTTATGACTAACAAAAACAGAAACTTGTTGGAGAAAAGTAAAAGGGACAATTATACAAGTAACAGTTTTTACAGAGATCAAGAGCTTTCTAGTTCTTCTTTTCTCTCTAAACTTCTTTGCATATTCAGCAAGCAAGTTAAAAGCACTTTTGTACAAGATAACTGGCAGGAGATGATATTCTTGTACAAAAAATTTTAATAAAAGCATAGTTTCTGCTGACAAAGTAAAAGCATAGTTGGTTCTAGGAGAACAGCAAGTGAGTTTTCAATATACTTTCTATTGAAGTTTAAGGTTACCTGCTTACTGAAATTCTTTAGAATATATCACTCTTTACATTTTATGAAATTTTACTAAAAAGTAGCATATCCCTGTCAAAAGATTAACAATAATAATCACTGCTAAAAAAAGAAAATCACATACAGGAGTATATATCTACTTTGGGATAAATAATGTACAATCATGTTCTTAAATTAGAAGTACATGAATATATTATAGAAGTTTTACAGAGCTACGTGATTAGAAATTTTGAACTTGGATTTTTACTCAAGAACAGATAGTTTTAATTAAGTTTTTATATCCTAAATATAGATATAAATAACTAATATAGAGATTAAATTAGTTTATTTAGTAGTACTATATAATGTTTTTAGTCTGGTATGGGCTTAATAGTATTATCTTTGTTTTCTTTCTTTGTTTTTGTTTTTGTTTCTTTGACTTGTTTGGTTTTATTTATTTTAGGTGGGTTGGTTTCATTGCTGAGTATATTTCCTCTTTTTTTAACTGACTTTGAATTTGTGTTTGTATTTCTCTACTAATAAGAAAAGCCAATATTGATCCTTATGGCTTGTAGTCACAGCTGAGAATTAAAGAAAAAAAGTCTTTAGGAAGTTAAGAACTCAGATAGAGGCTAATAATTACTAAGGCAGGCCATATTGGACAAAAGCTTGGTGAGCTATATGTTTGGAAGATTGTATAGTTAGGAGAGAAATTCTTGTAATTTGTCAAATAGTTTTGATCGTAAATAAATAGTGGTAGGCAGCCAAATTATAAAAAAAAATAAAACTTTAAACAAGAGATTAAATATATAAGAATGTATTTATAAAATTTTAATTCAACTTATAATTATCCATAAAAAATATAACAAAAAGTAGTTGATTATGACTCTAATATGTAGAGTAGAGTATATTAGGTTGTAATGAGATTTGAATAATGGTTTTTATATTTGTAAACTATAAATATTCACAGAAAGTTATGCTGTATTAAAGATTATGTGAGTTTATAAAATTTTTTAAAGCAATAAAATTCTTATCATTGTCACTTGCATGTATATATATTCATAATCAAGATTTATATAAAATTATAAAATTTTTTAAATATAACTACATAAGGCCATACAAACTTAATAAATCGGTTCTCATAACCTGACTGGGTCAAATTTTACAAAACTTTAAAAACAAATTTTAAGTATATTTATTATCCAGGTGGGTTTTTCTAAAAAATTTATAAAAA